AAAAAAAAAAAAGGGGAAAAAAAAAAAAAAAAAAAAAAAAAAAAGTGGTGCCACTTCTGCTGGGCTGAACGCTTGCAGTATTTCATGCAGTGTGATTAATTAAATTATTCCAGTGTTAACCTACTCTGGGCTTTGCTTTTAAAATGGATGAACAGAGGTTGGGGGGGGGAGGGAAAAAAGCCCAAATGCTGAAGAAAGAGATTGCGTTTCTCCCTAGTACGTCCCTAGGAAAAGCTTGCCTTTTATTTTAAGCCCGATGCCTTCAATGAAATATCCAAGAAGACTGATTAGAAGCCATGCATAATGATAGCATGGAAATAAGAGATGTGTGGGGTTTAGATTGTGTGAAACAATGGAACTAAAATAAAATACTGAAAAGATTATGTACTGCGTGAGATCTGGTTTTAAGGTTTAGATAAAAATCCACGATTTGTACTTCTGGCAGCAGGCTACGTTGTTAATTTTTTTAAATCTATTTGAAAAGGTACGGATGTATTTACTAACGGAGATGTTGCAACAGCACTTTGTGCTGAAGCAAGCGCGCGGGCTGTGTTGTCAGCGTCGAACTGAGGAAGACTCCGTTATCGAGAATTTTCTCTGCAGCCCTTAATTAGCCAGAGATGCCGTTTGTAACGAAACCCTCGTCCTTCCCTCCACAGCTGAATCTGGTATCGAGCGTCACGCTTTCCAAGACTGCATCCGAGGCGTCTCCGCAGAGCTTACCTCATACTCCCACCACCCCGACTGCGCCCATCACTCCCGTCACGCAGGGACCGTCGGTCATCACTACCACGAGCATGCACAACGTCGGACCCATCCGGAGGCGGTACTCAGATAAATACAACGTCCCCATTTCTTCAGGTAAAGGGGTTCTGGTGGCGCGGCCCCGTCGGCGGGGCGGCTGGCTGTCGCCCACAGCCCGGCAGCGGCAGGCTGTGATGATAACAGAACAACTGCTCTTATTTAGCAGATATTGCCCAGAACCAAGAATTTTATAAGAACGCAGAAGTTAGACCACCATTCACGTATGCATCTTTAATTAGACAGGTAAGCTGAGCCAAACACACGCATTTGGATTAGAAAAAAAAAAAAAAAAAAATCTCCCTATACGTGCACACTCTGGATTAAATAGATTTTCAAACCTTTGGTATGTAAGCGTGCTCAAATGCTCAAACCTTTACTATAAGGGTTTTTAGAACTGCAATATATAACATAATTGCTTTTGATTAAGTATTACAATACGATGTGATTATTAGGAAATTCATTTCACACAACAGTGAAAATGAGCCTGTTTAAAGATGGCAAGTCAATTATCACAAGCTACAGTAATCTCTGATCCCTAGAATTAATCTGAGCTCTAAATAATTACTGAGCTTTAATCAGCTAGTGAAATGTTTTGCATTTCTCTTTGATTCTGCTTTATGAATGACTAATAAATTAATATTTCTGTAAGGAAACAGAAATAAAAACTCAAAACAATTAGATAATTCCATTTTGAATTTTGCCATTGAACTGTTAAATACAGCCATTAATCTTAGTTCATATTGTGAAAACCCTCCTTTGGCTTTTTTGCTCCAAATCTCTTCTTTCTCTCTTCCATTCTTCCTTTCTTCCCTTTTTGTATTGGGCGAAGTAAAACTGTGAGTGTATTTTGTACTGGTGTGCTCGTAACTGATCTTGCGATCGCTTTGCTTCACAAGGCCATCCTCGAATCTCCAGAAAAACAGCTAACACTAAACGAAATCTACAACTGGTTCACGCGAATGTTTGCCTACTTCCGACGCAACGCGGCGACGTGGAAGGTAAGCCCTAGCCCGCCTGTGCCTCCTGCCTTTGGGATCTGACATGTACAGAATAGACATTGTTGACGACATAACAAATTGTAACGACATGTGGACATGAAAATGTAGATCGGCAGTTTTGACACACACTGGGTGCCTTATCTGCGGGAACAATTTGATATTTGGCAGAAAAATTCTTCTGCCTTTGGAAACCACTAATTGAATCCCCATTATTGGCTTTTATGTTCTGTGTTTATGCCACGAGTTCCTCTGTGTGGTTGCTGCTAGCAGTGAAACTCAAGCCCTTCAGCTGGAACGTATTAGAACAAAAAAAAAAAAAAAAAAAAAAAAAAAAAGAGGTAAAGTTATTGTGTCAGTAAAGATATACTGTTTGTCTTTTTAGTTATGCAGACTGTAATCACAACAACCACTTTTTTTTCTAGGATCTATAGATAAGTGGATTTCTTTCCTCCATCAGTTGACTCTCAGCCACATACACAGATCTGTTATAAGCTTCCTTTTTTTCTTTTTTTGAATCACACAGCAGAAGCTTATCGAACATCATATGCAAGAAGCAAGCCCCACAATTAAGAATTGTGCTTAAGAAAAATAAACTTGGTATTTAGCACTTGAATTTCCTACCATGACCACCTCAGATACTGTTAGATAAGAAGTCTGGGGAGTTAATTACGTTTTGGGGGCCACTCCTTCCCCTATCTGTGCCATTATAATAGCCACACTGGCTTCTGGAGCTAGTGCAATTACAAATGAACAAATCAAATAACAGGACCTTGTGTCGCTGTAAAAATTGCACCCCTGGTACTTTGAGCCTCTCTTAGTCTCGACAGCTCTGTTGCTCTCAAACAACTTCAGATGACCAGGTAGGACGAATATGTCCCATTTGTGCTGTTCCATCAGCTCTTTCTGTTTTTCCTGTCTCAGCCTGTGTTTAGGATTAATTCCTTCAGAGGCTGAAGCTAAAAATGGTCCTGGGAAGTTAGCGTGGGTTTTAGTAGCATGTTTTGCTTTTAATTCATATCCCAGCACAATTTTCTACATTTTCAACCTCAGTCTAGAAGCTCTTAGGTTCAGGAAAAGTCTTGTGATTGCTGCTTTGATTCTTCGCTGCAGTTGGAAAACATGAGCAGTGTTTCACTTTGCAGCTTCCTTACTATCCAGAAAGGAAATTAACTTTCCCTGATTTAAGATCCTTTTAGACCTGCCTGTCTTTTGCTGCTGGAGTGGTTCCAGTAGGACTTTTCAGCAGCTGCAGGTGTGGGTGCTAAAGTAAAAATCCTATTTAATTCCAGCAGCAAAGGGAAGGGAAGTGGAGGGGGAGCAGAAGGAGGCAGCAGGAAGCCCTGGCCCTATCTCCTGCAAGGCTAGTTTTAGGAATTAGCTGTGTGCAGCACGTCAGATCCAGTCCCAGAAGCCACGTGGGCTTACAGTGCGCTTCTGCAGAGGAGGAGGAGGAGAGAGGTGAGCTGCAGCCCCTCGGGCTTGCAGAAGGGCAAGGTGTGTCCCGGCGGGGGGGAATGGGGAGGCAGGTACCGTTGAGAGACCCCTCCTGGATACCTTGACCTTGTGCAGGTGTCCAGGTCCTGCTTCACCTACCCGGGAAGGGAAGCTTCACCCCAAGTTCCACCAGTGCTAGGAAAACTGGCAACCGCTTGAAGTT